CAACAAAACATTTAGCCAAATTTCAATTATTTCACCCCAGTGAAATTAGATAACTATGTGATAAGCATAATTTCAGATAATAATTTTCTTTAGTGGCCAAAAAATTGTTATTATGCAATTCTTACAAGGCCCCCTTTACCCCAAACTAAAAGGAAACGAGTTCAATTTGAAATAGTAATATGAATTACTAGTGGTAAGGAGATAAGCTGTCAACTCAAAGGCAGAAGGTTTGCATCTACCAACTGTTCCATGAGAGAAAGATGGACAGTCTGCTCCCTTGCTATTTACTGCCTCTAAAAACCCACTGGAGGGTTAGCTCTGAATCACTTCTGACTCAATTGCACATAACAACAGCAACACCACCTTTATGGGGCTAGATTGCTCCAGATTTGCATTCCTCTTCATTTCTCTCATTCTGTTACTCAGTTACTACAACCTAGAACTAAATCTGAGGATTTTCTGCAAATCTTTTCTTTCTAGATTTACAGTGACAGTGATTTGAGTCCCATTTCTACTTTTATAAAAATATATTTTAGAGAATGTTATAATTGTTAAAGTATTAATAACTTAAATGAAGGGGGGGCAATTACACCTTTCATTTACTGAGTTATGTAATCAATTTCATTATATCTGGACAAAACGTGGATAGCCAAGGTATGTACACAGGGCTTCTCGGTAACCTCGTCAGCAAGAGCACCATTAATGATGATGTAGATTATTATTATCAGCAGTTTACTGAAATTAGTTTAAAATTGGGTTTGTTATTAGCATATCACAGATTACCTTTTTATTGATGAACTTTGGAATTAATCCCGAAGTTTCAAGATCATGCTTGTCTCCAGTTTGTTTGTCCACATAAATTGGTTTAGGCTTTTTTGCAACTCCCATAATGATATCTGCTGCATTTGTATTTACAAAATTTTTTCCACTCTGTACTCCCATAACAGGATGTTCACATCTCCGAGGTACAGGGGGTTTTCTGGGTCCACTCCAATCAAACTTTTTTTCTGTTAATCATAACATTTAATTGATAACATTAAAACTATAAAAATTGTTCCTCAGTACTATTTACTATGTTCAGATGTAGTGCCATTAATCTATTTGAGTTTTACTAGTATATGAAAAAGTTTAACATAAACAGCCATAATCATAATAATAATAAAAACTGCATTTTCAAAATCTAGTTAAAATAAATTAATACCTTTTAAGTTAAAATCATAGAATAAAAATGTTTAAAATCAAATATAATAAAAAGCACAAAAGTACTAAAATCAAACACAGAATGATGACCACCTGAAATCATGTTATTAATGTTTTTATTATTTTTTTAAGAGGAGAAGAAACTGAATGCATTTATTGTTTGCAAGTAAAAATGATAGACGAAGACAGGACATTTGCAATAAGAATATTTCAGTTTGAAATATTACATATAGGGAATAACAAAGTATCAGAGGAAGAAAAATTAAATCTGGTTACTATATGGGAATACGGTAATGTTTTTTTCCCCCAATAATGTTTTTATTATTTTAAAAGAAGCATTTCCTTAACTTATTACTTAAGTATTTCCTTATTTCAATAAGAAATATTCCATTTTCCTATTTAAGTCAGTTTAGAAAAAAGCAGTAGAGTATGTGACATAAAAAGAGGATCATTGTTGTTGTTGTTTGATGCCGTCGAGTTGTAGACGGCTCGTAGCAACCCTATGAACAAATGGCCTGAGCACTAAAAAAGAGGGTAGAGAGTAATTAATTGTTCACCAAGCAGACTGTATTTGATGGTGCAAGCATTTTGAACTATATCTTGGACTTATCGATGGAGGCTCCATGTCCAGCACCACATTATCTTATTAGCCATCTTATTACTTACTCATCACTTGTTGTTACTATGTGCTACTTAGAGGGCTATTACTCATAGTGATCCTATGAACAATGGTTCTGAAATTTGCCCTATCCTGAGCCAACCATTTGTCTTTCACAGTCACTGTGTCAATTCATCTCATCCAGAGTCTTCATCTACCATACTGTACCTCCACACTTCCAAGCATGATGTCCTTCTCCAAGAACTGGTACCTCCTGGCAACATGCCCAAAATATGTGAAACTGAGCTTCAAAATCTTTGCTTCCAAGGAACAACTTGGTTTCACCTTCTCCAAAATAGATTTATTTGTTCACCTGGCGTCCATGATATGTTCAACACTCTTCTCCAGCATCAGAACTCAAAAGAATAAATTCTTCTGCCATCATTATTCACTTTAAGCTCTTTAATGCATAGCAAGCAATTGTGAAGGCACACCTTAGTCTCTAAGACTGATATAGTTGGTCTTTAGCACTCTAGAGACCCTTGATAGCAAATATTTCCAATG